TTTGGAAATTAATCAAACATCCATAGTTGTCAATCGAATTAAAAAATCTCAATTTTATTATATAAATCAATTGACACAAAAAAATGAATAATTGATTAACGTTAGCTTAGCAAGATTAACATTTACTTTTTTTTAAAATTTTATTATGCTAAATCAATTGATTAACGTTGGCTTAGCAAGATTAACATTTACTTTTTTTTAAATTTTCATTTCCAATTATATAGAGGAAATATTTTTATAGAATGTGTGGTTCATGACGTGATTACTGTGATACCCCAAAATCCATCCGGATTAGTAAAACAATGATTCATATGGATCTATTTACAGAGACAAATACCAAGAAATAACTCATTTATCTCGTTACCCTGTTCACGATAAATACTTGCTTGTCGGTGGAGGAATATTTAAACTATGCATCCCTACTAGTCTATTGACGAGAAAAATTTACCGCCTGCATGAAGATCTTTAGCGCTATTATGTAGTCAATTAGTATCACAAAGCATCACTGACGTGATAGTCATACGGAAATAAAAACTTTATATATATATATATATATACTGATAATAATGATTTCATATTAAAAATTAATATTTATTAGCTCAAAGTTGCTTTTAAGAGGATTTATAGTTTACGCGATCTTGAAGTTATTAAAGAAGAGATACAAATTTTGAAATATCCTGGAAAGACCTTTAGCAAGGTAGTTGATCATTTCATTTCTCTGACAAGTCATTTGTTCGACATCAGGTTGATAATTTAGATTTTATTAGTTTGTAGGTATATGTTGTAATCTTTAGAGAGCTAGGTCATTAATGATGATTCGGAACTTACGCAATAATTACTAGAAATTTGAAAAAATAATTTGTGGTACAAAATTTTCTTGTGTATTGTTATATTTGATTCCCACTAAAAATATAAATATAAAAAAAAAAAGAATCGATTGACATTTTCAAAAAGATAATACATGATGTTGACCGAAAGCTCATACATAACTGGTTTCCTGAATTCTAATTTGATTAAGACTATCGGTGGAAAATGTTTGATTAATTTCCAAATATAAATATATAAAAAAAAAAAAATCAATTGATGACATTTTCAAAAAGTGAATGACATGATATTGGCCGAAAGTCTTATACATACATGACTGATTTCCTGAATGCCTTAATGAATATCATGATAATCATCATTTTTTTGTATTTTAATCTTACCCAGAACTAGAATGATTCGAAAAAAAAATTTTATCAAAACGAAACACGTTTAATCGTTCAAATATCGATTTTTTTTTTTTATTCAAAAGTTATTAAATGAAAGCCGGAAGTTTTATGTGTAATAAATTACTTACCGACTCACATGGTCCCTTAATAAACTTAAAATTTAAAGTTAAAGTTTCATTTATTTCCGCGACTATGAACACAGATTTACTAATTAGAAATACTACCTTAGGTCATAGCCAAGGAACGATCAACGCCGATATTTGATTTTATGACCGATCGAATAAACAATTCCAGTAATTTGAAACATTATATAGTCATAATAGGAAGAGATTTTATTCTCAGCGATCTCGTGAACGAGTATTTTTTGTCGATAAAGTTGATAATTAACAAACTGGAAATTATATAAATTATAAAATTATAGGAATGATAAAAAGACTATTTATAAATACTTTGTGAAGTGCAAGATGCTATCTTCAACATATAAAGGCATTCATACATAATTTATATAATGTTACATTACTTAAATTCGAATTCGATAACGTACAGTGCAGTACATAAGGACGTACATAAAATAATTAACCTTGATGTGGTGACAATTTTATTTTCATTTTCATTAATGTTAGAAACATTCATATCGACATGAGAATGACTTTGTACAAAAATTAGTTAATAGATACACAAGAAATTTTAAGAAATTATGAAGGGTATTATTACTATTATCGCTATTATATCGCTATTATTTCGTTATTAGATCGTTATTAGATCGTTATTAGACCATTACTAGATCGTTATTAGATCGTTATTAGATTGTTACTAGATCGTTATTAGATTGTTACTAGATCGTTATTAGATTGTTACTAGGTCGTTATTAGATTATTCAGTCACTTTTTGACCGTATATTCTTATGTATCTTGTAGAAGTTTTTAGGTCATTGATTTCTTTTTGAAATGTTCGAGTAAGATTATCAAATTCTTTCTCAGAGATGCCCATGAGTTCAGACAGTGACTTTTTTGATTGCTCCCAGGTTGTAATGATATTCTGTACTAAAAGAGGACCAACTTTTCCACCACCTTTTCCTAAAGTGATCCTTTTTTCTTCTCTTCGTATCACAGTAATTTTGTTTGTACTTCGTAGGTAATCCTCGTATCGAGGATTTAGTATTAAATCTGTATTTTTAGATTTAAGAAATTCGTGGTCTATATAATAAATTATTAAATTATTAATTAATTTAAAAATTAAAAATTCAAATAATAATAATAATAATAATAATAACAATAATAATAATAATAATAACAATACTAATAATAATCAATTAAGAAAAATACATACACACCATCTCCAATTGGCTTGTGGCAGAACCTTTTGGAGCGTATTGGTTA